ATCATCATCATCATCGTCGTCGTCGTCGTTTCGTCGTTATCGTCCTCAACACCATGATCATCATCATCGTCGTCGTCGTCGGCGTCGTAGTCGTCATTATCATTATCATGATTATCATCATGAACATGATCAACATTATATCATATTTTTTTCTTGGCACACAGGTAACAAATTTTGCACAGTATAACTTTTGAACCCAGAAAGGCTGGATCGCCCTTGAATTTAGTGCTCTATTAGGTAGTCCTATGTCTTTATCACCTAGTAGATCTTTCCATGGAGGCTTAGCTGGGCTGTCTGCCAAAAACACAGTACAGTACTTAATTGCAACACTTTTAATAATCCAAGTGATGGTACAAAGTACAACTCACCAGACATTAAAATAGTACCAGCAGTATGTTATTCAAAATTTGTAGGCCTATTTCCAAATATAATAGGCCTAGCATGTTGCATCCTGTGTATTCATAACACATGTGTTATTTAATTGCATATTGTTAATATTTCACAATACCCTGCACTTCATATATATTCACTGTTAATTACATTATGTATTCGTGTTTCTGGCACTTTATTTATTCACGGAGCAATAAGAAACTCAATTTATCTATTTATGGCACTGATTAAATTAAAAATTTAAACAATTCAATTGTGAACGATTTACCTTTTCCGCAATAGACTTACATTTGTCTTTTTCACATAATTAAAATAGGCCTACGAATTGTGATTTGGTCATTATTTTGAGTCATGCTATTAGCTTCTGTGTCTAGGTATTGGGCCCATTCTTAGCATTATGTACCGAGGTATACAGGCATCTCTTGTGAATCTAGACCTAATATTTTCTTGAGTATATACCGGAAGAATAGGATGCCCTGTACATGCTGCTGTGCGCATATTGCTAAAAACTTAAATCACAATTTATTAATGTACGAGATTCAGAAATACCATAATGATGTTCGGCAATGTACTATGGAATTACTTCAGTAAATAGTAATGCAGTAGAACTGCTATTAAGGGGACACATTCGAGACCAAAAAAAAAGTGTCCTCTTAATAAGGGTGTCCCTTTAATAGGGGTACACCTATTCAGGAGACACTTAACAAAATACGTGAATTGTCCCCTTATTATGGGTTTTTGCCATGTTTTCGTATAACGATAACATACATTCTGTATAATTCTATTTTTATTAAAATAATTAGTTACAGTAGAATTAGACCTAATTTACAAAAATAATTTGCAATGCAAATACAATTCGTTTATAATATGAAATTAGCAGTATGTGATTAAAACAGCAATAGTTTTATATGTTCACAATATTGTTTCATGATGCAATGCTAATAACCCAAAATATTCTTTTTTTAATATTATGGTATGAATTAGAATCCTATTAAGAGTCAAAATTGAAAAAGTTGGTTTATCGAAGTAACACATGCAGTAGGCCTTACTGATATTCACTCTAAGGATTTGGGAAGAAAATTCTGGTTATTGCTCAAATTTCAAAATTCAATTTTTATTTCAATTTATTTTAGTTTTCAATTTATTCAGAAAACAGAACAGAAAAATAAAGTAGTAGGCTTACTTTAAAACAACTGAGCAATTTTATTAAAACTGACAATTTCATTACATATTATATGCCTATAATAGAATAATTGAAATTAAAACCAAGGAAAAATTTGACAAATTTCTGGCGCAACCACTGCTCAGCCACTACATGATTGTATTTTTTTTTTAATTATAAAATAAGCAAATTGTAAAAGGATTA